CAATACTTGTAATCACTCTTCGTTCCTGCAATAAAGTCTGTTATTTTTTTTACCATACGACGTGTGCATTCCTTATCTTGCATCATCTATTGAAGCAGACTGCATGGCCTTTAAGACAACACAATCCAGAGCGCCCTGCTGTTCAGGTGCCACCTATGCAAAATGTAACGTTAATCGGGCATAATGATATTTAACCTCCGTTATTACCGAACATTAGAACTTTGGTGATTTCCTAACCGGTCATGTTCATACCTATAGTCCTGTTCCATAGTTATCACCAGCCAGGTGGTATTTGCTACCACAAGCAAAATGTAACGCTAGTCTACCATAAATGTACCTAATTTCTATATCTTGTTAATGAAAAATAGTATTTCGGCTTCTTCCTAACTTCTAATGTGCATCCTTACAATATTGTTCCATAGTTATCACAAACCAGATGGAATTTTCTATCCCAAGCAAAATGTACCGCTAGTCTCACATAGAAGTACCCAATTTTTATCTGTTATAAATGAAAAATGCTATATTACTACATTGCTGTCACCAACCAGATGGAATCTTCTATCTCAAGCAAAATGTACCACTAGTCTCACATAGATGTACCCAATTTTTATCTGTTATAAATGAAAAATGCTATATCGCTACATTGCTGTCACAAACCAGATTGAATCTGCTATCCCAAGCAAATTGTACCGCTAGTCTCACCTAGATGTACCCAATTTTTGTCTGTTATAAATGAAAAATGCTATATTGCTATCGCAAACCAGATGGAATTTGCTATGTCAAACAAAATGTAACGCTAGCCTCGCATATATGAACCTAACCTCTATTTGTTATTAATGAAAAACGGTACTTCGGCGGTTTCCTAAACTGTCTTGTGCAATCTTATTATGCTGTTCCAAGGTTATCACAAACCAGATCGAAGTTGCCATCACAAGCAAAATGTAACGCTAACCTCGCATAAGATACCTAATCTCTATCTGGAAATAAGGAAAAAATATATCTTAACGACTTCCCAACTTGCCATGTTCAAACTTACAGGCCTGTTCCATGGATATCACAAACCAGATGAAATTTGCTATCACAAGCAAATGAGAAGAGATTGCTGATAGTACCTTGAGGCGACCGTCGGTCGGTATCTCGTTCGACAATGCACATCTATCGTTCAACCTTCTGATCTGTTCTCTAATTCTAAATGTTCAGCGGTTCCTCGACACTGATGAAAATGTGTTTGGCACGAGAACAAGGAATAAATGTTTATAGGCGGCCAGAGGGGAGGAAGGTAGGGGAAGGGGCTCGGTGCCGCTTTCCTTCGCTGCGTGCGCGCTTGGAAATCGTGGGGGTTTGATACAATTACGAGGGTACTACGATATGTATTCTATATATTTACTTCGACGACAACGGAACATAATAACCACTTTTTTCGTCGGAATAGAAACACACAATTTTTGTGGACGATTTATTGATGTAGGTATTCGTACATTGTGGCACTACACACCATTTATACACCATTTTTTCAATAAACTTATACAATAATAACAAAATTAATTTCAGCTACACTGTGTTCCTAACTTGTTTACTAGCGTGTGACGCGTCAAACGAGTCATAGTTTTGGAAATTTAGACTTTAACATTGATTTTTATCGAAAATAGTGTAGGTTTTTTGGAAATATCAGTGTAGTTGTGCTTATTATGTATGAAAGAATAATTTAAAATGGTTTTGCAAAATTATTCAGATAGCGGATTCTTGATTTGGGTTCTGCGATTCTTTTCTGTTTTAAGGGGTAAACCTTTGTATGCGCAGAATCGCCCAGCAGTCCCCTGTTTTCTCGCAAAGCTATTCATAGAGTTATACTCCTGTGCAGTCTCTACAACATATATGAGTCTGAGGGTGGCACAATTCTTCGTTTGGGTTTTGCAATTTTTTTTCTGTTTTGAGGAGTCGAACTCTGTATGCGCAAAGTCACTCTGTACTCCCTGATTTTTCTCAAAGCTATGCGATAAAGTTGTACTTCTATGAGGTCTCTACAACATACATGAGTCTGTTGGTGGCACAATTCTTCGTTTGGTTTCTGCGATATTTTTTGTTTTCAGGAGTAAACCTTTGTAGAGACCTCGTAGCAGTATCATCTTCACGCCATAGCTTTGCGAAAAATCAGGGGACCACAGGGTGATTCTGTGCATACAAGACTTCACTGCTTAAAACAGTTAAAAAAATCGCAGAACCCAAAGGAAGAACTGTGCCACCAACAAACTCATACATGTTGCAGAGACCTCATAGGAGAATATATTAATGGCTTATCTTTGCGAAAAATCAGGAGACTTCAGGGTGATTCTGCGCATATAAGGGTTGACCCCTTAAAACAGAAAAAAAAAACGCAGAACCCAAACAAGGAATTGTGCCACCAACAAACGTATAGGTATGCGCAGAATCACCCTGTAGTCCCCAGACTTTTCGCAAAGCGATGCCATAAAATTGTACTTCTATGAGGTCTCTTTAACATATATGAGTCGGTGGCGCAATTCTGCGTTTGGGTTCTGCGACTGTTTCTCTGTTGTCAGCAGAGAGGTCTTTACAACACATATGAGTTTCTTGGTGACACAATTCTTAGTGTGGGTTCTGCGATTTATTTTTGTTTTGAGGAGTCAACCTCTGCATGCGCAGAATCACACTGTATTCTCTGATTTTTCTCAAAGCTTTGCGACAAAGCTGTACTTCCATGATGTCTCTACAACATACATGAGTCTGTTGGTGGCACAATTTTTAGTCTGTTGATTTTTCGCAAAGCTATGCCATAAAGATGTACTCGTGCGAGATCTCTACAATATACGTGAGTCTGTCGGTGACCCAATTCTTCGTTTGGGTTCTGCGATTTTCTTCTGTTTTGGGAGCTAACTCTTGTATGCGCAGAATCACCCTGTAGTGCCCTAATTTTTCGCAAAGCTATGCCATAAAGGTATACTCGTATGAGATCTCTGCAATATACCTGAGTCTGTCGGTGGCACAATTATTCGTTTGGGGTCTACGAATTTTTTCTGTTTTCAGGAGTTAACCCCTGTTCGCGCTGTATCACCCTATAGTCCCCTGAATTTTCGCAAAGATATGCCATTAAGATATAATCCTATGAGGTCTCTACAATATACATGAGTTTGACGGTGGCACTATTCTGCGTTTGGGTTCTGCGATTTTTTTTTCTTTTCAGGAGTTAACCCTTGTTCGTGCAGTATCACCCTGTAGTCCCCTGATTTCTCGCAAAGCTATTCCATAGAGATGTACTTCTGTGAGGTCTCTACAACATATAGTATATGAGTGTGTTGATGACACAATTCTTCGTTTGGGTTCTGCGGTTTTTTTGTGTTGAGGAGTCAACTCCTGTAGGCGCAGAATCACCTCTAGTTCCCTGATTTTTCACAAGACTATGCCATAAGGTTGTGCTCCTATGAGGACTCTACAACATATATGTGTCTGTTGGTGGCGCGTTCTTCGTTCGAGTTCTACGAATGCTTCTCTGTTTTCAGAAGTTAAGGTCATTTGAGACTCGACCTGTCGAAAATTTTCAGCAGAGGATTTAGAAGTATTCGGTTGATCTTGAAAGTTATTAGGTTTAGAATCACAAATCTCGTATTGACATTGTTGATGGAAGTTGTATAGCTATTCAGCTATAAAATTAGATGGTCCAAAACGTCTAAAGTAGTTTTTATTTGCTCTGAAATTTTGGGAATTTGGTCTCGGAACCAGGAGAAACTCCACTCATAGGGGTAGGCCCTGGTTGTCGTTGAGATGGATTAGGTCTCCAAACATTTTTAAGTTGTCCAAAAACTTGTGTATTGGTTAGATACACTGTTCGCCATTATGAAATTTTTTGCGTCTAATGTATTGTACTGAAATCTAATATGCAGTTAGTTTCTCCCCATCACCTACAAGTTCTTATAGAAGGGAGAATATAAAATATGAAAATCCCAAATTATAAGCGATCTAGTGGTGAATTTTTAAAAATTAAAAAAATATTTTATAGCAAGAACTGCCAACGACTGCTTTCAAATATACGCTCATACTATGTGACACGCATTTTCCTGAACTGTGTGACTTACCCTGCCCTGCGTCGTTTGCGTCCCACTGTGCGACCGGCCGTATTGTCGCCTATAGGCTGTACCCGTCGCGATACTTATAGGGGCTAGTGGCGTGCATATGAGGTGAGCGCGTTCTTACGTACGTATCTTAAGCTATTCGTACATCCCAACTTCAGCGCACCTCGTTAAAATCTAGGAAAATTTTTTCTCACGAACATTTTAATTAGTGCTTTAACGAGTTTTTCAGGGATCAAATTACACATCTGGGGCTATTACAATCAACTATAAAAAATCAGTGACTAAGGTTCTTACACCCCAGCTCCAAAGAAAGAAGCCTGTCATGTACGGTGCGCGCTCGCTAAAATCTAGGAAAACATTTGTTTATGTTTTTTATTAGTGCGCTAGTGACTTTTCCAGAAATCAAAGTAGGTACATATCTGGAGCTATTATAATCAAACATTAAAAATCAGTGACGAAGATTCGTACACCCCAGCTCCAAAGGATTATTTCTTCGTTCCGCTGAATATTTTCGTTAAATTGTTTAACTGTCAATGTCTTTTTTTATTTTGTGCACGTTCTGTCCTCATTTTATTTTACCATTAAATGAGAACAGTTGCCTTGTCCTTTCATGCTAGATGCAATAAAGCTTGGTACAATATTTTCGGATTTCCCCAATATGGTACCCATTTCATCAAAAAAATCGATATGTATGACCCTACACCCAGAACTTGTCTCTCATGTTGTCTCTTTTTGCTGTATACTTTTGCTTCAAGTATTTAAACTTTTTTATTTGTATCACACTATACTTCTAATCTATCTGTGTATCTATCTACCTGTCTATCTATGTAGCGATCTATCTTTCTCTTTTTTGTGAGGAGGTAAACATTTTCAAAGACGCCAACACCCGTTAGCGCCGCGCTGTGTTGGATTCACCTTGCTGCCTCGCCCTCGCCGAACAGGATCACTTGGCTAGGGCGGTGAATGCCCCCAACAAAGCAATAGGGCTCAGTAACCAGGAAGGCGCCTACCAACTAAAAATTGTGTCTATGTATTGCATAACAATGTAAATGGTATAAACAAATCTGACTCACTAACAACTACACTAACTAATGTTCGAAAGTCTAATTTATTAACTGGTTATTCTGAGGCTGGCAATTTCGTACATACTTTGTTTCTTCTAATTATTTCTCTTACCGTACTGTATACTTGCTCCTATGATTCCTGACTGCCTACTAGGTGCTCTGATGCGTTTGCAATATTAAATATTTTGCTAAAATTCTGTGCATAACATACCCTCATGCTCGACCACATTGGACAACAAAAGGGCGTATGTTGGCTAGCATCTTCGTCACCGCAGTAAAAACATTCTCAGCCACGACCAGAAAGTACTTGGGTGAGGAAATATTCAACCTCACCTCCTGATCTATTAAGCCACTTCCGGATATTTGGGATAAGTTAATGAGTCCATCTACCATACGTACCTCTCTGACCGAGTTCTTACTTATGCCATTGTATACTTGCTATCGTTCTTGAATCAGCAAGTCGATTGGTCGAATTCATGCTATCACTCCAGCACCTAAAGTGTTCTATATGCGCTGCATATCCTAATTGACAGGAAACAGATGCCTAAATACTTCTTAAATAAACTCTATTGATAGGTTGAGTTTGGGTGTAAACCCAATCATTCTCTGCATTATGAACTTGTATCCATCGCCCCAGATATCATTGTCAGGATCAGTGAAAAATAACTTGCAACTATACTCTAGGCGCTAAAGAAAGAAACTAAACCCAAACAAATACACGCATATTGCTCGTGAGTGAGTGTTTAGGCGCAGGAGACATTACAGGACCGCATCAAGATATTATGGGTAGTCATCAAAAATTTCATACAAGATAATTATTATCTTTTACAGTAAATTTCAGTTAGAGATTCACAAATTAGTTAACTACACTTTTTAGTTATTAGTAAGTAAGCTGCGCGCACTCATTCAGAAGAGGAACTTGAATCTTCTGAATCGTTTAAATGAATTATTAGAGGTTCAATTTGGGTATCGATGATATTGTCCAAATCCCACATTTTGACCTCAACCTTCTCCCGAACGTGGCGGATACAGTTTTTCCATTCCTCTGCCGTAACTCTATTGACTGCGATGTGAAAGAGATTTTTAACATCAGAAAATTTATAAGTATTATTATTCGACGCCACGTATTGCTTTATGTTGGCCCAAATCAGCTCAATAGGGTTCAGCTCACAATGGTAGGGTGGCAGTCTCAAGACAGTTTTATTTTGTTTTTTGGCCATTTCGTTGATCATTTTAAAATCATATTTGTATTTATGTCTATTGACTATACTTATCAATTCACCCTTGACCATTGTTTCATCAAAATCGATCTGTTTTGAGGCCAGCCATTGTTGTATGTTTGCTTTTTTACAGCGTTATTCTCCAGCTTTAGTAACATTTTGGAGAACCAATTTTGAAAGGAATTGCCGTCCATCTCCTCATGATAGTCCCCTGTCTTTTTTGATTCAAAGGCCCACAGTGCTTCGGGAACAAAGCCGTCTTCACTACCTACGTGACAAATGATCAGCCGTTTGCCTTTTCCTGGAAATAAATTATTCCTCACACTATGGATTGATTAAATTTGAAGGAATGAGGCAATTGAGTTCATTTAGCTGAATTTAAGAGTCACGGAATGCTGATCAAAAACTGAAAAACGTAGAAAATTGAAGTTTGCAACTTCTCAAAACCCATTCAAAGCAAATTGACTGCACCCAAAAATGATAATAAATTTCAAAATAACGCTTAAAAGAGGGTCGAAGTTTTTTTCCTAATGACTACACTGCGAATGCACCATTTTTGGAGAATATCACACATTATCTGCTATCACAGCATATTATTTGCCCGAATTTATCAAAATTAAATTGCCGGATAGATGAAGGAGCTTACCTGCAGGATTTTTCAATCCAGCCGAAAGACCGTCTAGAAAAGCCTGCCTTGATGATGTTACTGATTTGTCGACCCAATCTTTCGCTTGAGTATGTCCAGCATTCACCCACGTTTCGTCCAAATAGTAAATTTTTCTTTTTTCATCGCGAAACTTCCGAATCTTCCTAAGGTATTCCTTTCTCCACACAACAATTTCTTCTTTCTCTATTAACATACTGTTTCTTCCCCGTTTCAAGAATCGAAAATTAAGTTCCTTCAAAAGTTTTCGGAATGTGGTTCTTTTAAATGATGGAAGATCCTCATCAGCAGTAACTAATCTTAATATCTTATCTACTGTAGGTATCTCATTTCGGAAGAAAAAATTATGCACTTTCCTCCTGATGGCAGTTCTGTCAAAGTCATCTACTCCGTCCGTTATCCTTTTTCTTGCAGGATACGGTTTTGGCTCAGAAAGTGAGTGAGTGCTCCTATATTCCTTAATGATCCTATAAACACTGGACCGACATACTCCAGAAATATGTGCTACCTTACATATAACTTCGTCCACGACCAAATCGGGTTTTTCTTGAATTTGGTTTTTGTATATATTTAATATTATTTGTTTTTCATTTGCACTTAAATGTAGCTTCTTAGCCCTTTTTTTGGGTGGGGTTGCGCTGATGTCAACCACTTCGTCGGCTGTATCTGTGTCAGACATCGTATCTTAGGCAATATATAAACAAAACGTTCCACTCGCGAAAAACGAGTATACGCTACTGAATGCGTAATGCGTATGCAATGCAATCCTGTGCGTGAATTAACTGTTAGATGCCTGTCGTGTCATCTACAATCACGTTTACAAGTCCAAACCTGTGCAGATTCGTAGAGCGCCGACGACTGCTAGTGACCTTGAATTTGTCTGTAGATCGATGTTACTCCAGTCAATTTAGGTTCAAAGTGGATGTTTTCTAAACCAATTTGTTGTTCCTACATCAAAAATATATCGATGATGTTTTGTACTGGGAGCTCATGAAAGATCAAGGTAACTTATTTTAACAGTCATCCTTTTTCTAGTCTCAAGATGACACGAAAAAGGGTCTGTGGATTCACTAGAAATACACTGCCGAGGATGTTTAGACCTAAAGTGACTGGAGTATATCCGTGGATGCTTTCGAGGGATCTGTTCACGTGCTGATCACTGTTTACGTTTAATGTCTTTCTTCAGCGCCCAGAGTTTAGCTCTATTAGCTCCTGCTCTACCAGTATCTGTTATATACAGGGGGTATTCACTCTTATGGGATGAATTGGAACAGTGTTTTTAGTTGGTGATCAATCCGTTGGATGCCGCTGGTATCGCTGTTGTCGTTTGTCGGAATTGGAAGCTGATATTTGACAGCTGTCACTGCTTACTTTCTTCCTTGTGTTTGGTGGTTTGGATTTGGACCGTTAAATACTTTTATTTTTTGTTTATGTGTGGTTGAATTTGAGTGATTACAGCGCTTGTTTATTGCAGCATGTAAGTATAGTGATATAATCTAGTTTTATAGGCTAAGATGATGGATACAAAACTTCAGGGCCGTCGACAAGAGAGGAGCTCGTGGCTCGGCGCTGAGGGAAGCACGAGGCTCGCTTACTGAACTGATGGATTGACGTCCTTAGGTTCGCTCATGTCAAGAAAAGGGACCGAGAATATTTCGGCATTATTACAACTGCAAAAGTTAAATTTGATTTTGTTTATGTTGTCATGTCTAGCAACATTTCTATTTCCTTGAGTCATACTTGAACATATTTTTGTAACTGAATGTTGTTTTTCAGAAACCATGTCTCGGTACTGCAAATGCGCAGTTAGAGGCTGTCAGGACAGTGTTTCAGTACAACATAGATTTCCAAACCCGACGAAATTTATGTATGTTTTTGTGCAATGGGTGGATTGTATTGATAGTGAAGCAGTGAGAGATATAGACCCCATAACTGTTTACTCGTATAATAGATATAGAGTGTGTCATGCACACTTCACAGTGGAAGACAATTATGGTAACAACAGACTTAGGAGGGATGCTGTGCCATCACTAAATCTTCCTGATCAACAAATATCCAACGCAACTGATGAAATTCTTGGTATGTTGGTTTGTTTAATTTTTAGTATCACCCAATTTTACATATCTCAACTTCAATTACATATATTCAGCTTTTTGGAAACTGTTATAAGTTGTGACTTTCAACAGTGTTTACTACAAGTGATTGAAACTACATAACTATGGTCTGTTTATCGAAGGAAGAGTAAATCCAAACATATACATGCATATTTTACATGACTGGTGAGGCTACATGCACCTTTGTGTTGTCTCCTGCTCCACCCTCCTGGTTTGGCATTGGCAGACCACACAGTGCATGTAGCAAGTCACATAAAATATGTGTGAACATTGTTGGGTTTGGTGTCTTTCTTCAATAAACGAAGTATCTAGTTAATATTTTCCATTTAAAACTCATTTCAACTCATTGATGGGAATTATTTATATTTGGAATAAGTTAGACTGAGCTCCAGTTAACACTGGGAATGTTATAAGGTGAACATTTATACAGGGAAATTAGAGATCACATTATCTTAACTGCAAACATCTCATTGGTAGTTGTTTCAATCATTCCCAGAATGCGCTCCAAAACAGTTTATTGATGATAGCACAGTAACTGTATGAAACATTATAAAATTGATCATGTAATTTTTTTTTGATAGTGTAAATTGTGTGGTTACAAGAAAACCATCAACTTCAGCATCATATCAACAGTTGGGAGAAGTTTCAAATCACATCAGCATAATATAAACTTTAAACGAAGTTTGGTCAACTTTGACTATCAAGCACTTGCATTTATAATTAGAAATGGAACATTTTATTGAATTTATTGTCTTGTAAAAATACAGTTGTAATGGATTCTGAACATATATATAATATCAATTTCATTCTTTATTTCAAGGTTCCTCAAGAACAGAATCTGGATTATTGCATAAGTTACATGTAACCAGAGAAACCCACTTAAGTCCAAAAGCTAAGCTAAGCTAAGCTTGTTAAAAATTGGAAGCAACCTCTAGCATACACATTTTGTAG